CCCGGAAAACGGAAGCCCCAGGAACAGAGCTCCCACACTCCCCGTGGGTGCACGCAGGCTGTTCACACACAGACACGCTCCCACTGTCGGGGCAACACGTAAAGTCACATCCACTCACACTGCCACACACAGGCTCCATGTTCGAACCTGACGCGCCCAGTCACACAGGCCCTGTGTCCACACGTATGACACACACAGTCACACACACTCCCATGTTCACGCTCCTGATTCACGCTTACACAAAGACACACTCAGCCACTCTGATGCTGGGCGCTCTTGCACTCCGAGTACCTGGGTGCCTGTGAGAGAGACACCTGCAGAGCCACGGCCCCTGACCCCCCAGGGACCTGCACTGAGCAGTGCCTGAAGGCCAGGAGCTTGGGGGGCGGAGCCTGCTGGCTGGGGGTCTGAAAGTCTGCTTCATGGGGACAGAAGACCACCATTGTTAGGTTTTAACCCCCACCTCCACCCTGTGCATGCCCGTGCACCATCCCCAGCCCCACGCTTCCCTGGGGGCCTGGGGCCTGGCCCTTCTGCCCCAGCATGTGCCCCTCACGGCCCTTGAACCTATCTCCAGTGGAAAACCTGGCCAAACCTGGAGGAGCTGCGCCCAGTGCTGGGGCCAAGAGGGTCTTCCCAGCTCCTGGGCCACGTCACCTTTGGAGGCAGATGGCAAAGGGCCCCCACAAGGTGCAGCAGGGACAGCGTGGGAGAGCGAGGTGTGGAGCAGACCCAGGCCTCAGCCGGCAGGAGGGCGGAACCTAATTGCTTCCTCCCGGCCACAGTCCTGCCCCATCCGGCGAGGTGTCAGGCCAACAGCCCAGGCCAGGGGTCTTTCATCCCAGCACTTTGTCCCTGCACCCAGCACCATTTGTTGGGGCGGCTCTGGGGGGTCAAGGTGGACCGGCCAGCCTGGGAAGGCGTCAGGACCCGCCCGTCCCAGGAGGGCAAGGGGGGACTGTGGGGGGTGGTGGTTGGCAGGGACCAAATGGGCAAGTGCCCTGCCGACGTGACACTGGTGTCCTGAAGCTGAGACTCACCCGTTTCACCCCCTCCCCTGACGTGAGTGTCTGCGACACTTGCCGTGTGTAGGTGTGCTCATGGAAGGTGCTGGAAGCCCTCAGCGCCATGCTGGCTTTTCTCACCAGGTGCTGGGATGGAGAGACGCCTGTGTTCTTGGGTTCTTCCCCTTTGCACTAAGTGAGCAAGAAGTGACCCATTAGTCTAGAGCTGGCACAGCTTCCCAGCCGAAGCCCCCCTCCTCCCTGCCTGTGGGGTCAGAACGGGGTCTCCCATGGCCTGGGCAGCAGACTGCCCGCCTCCATCCGCCGCACAGGGGCCTGGCTCCCACCGGGTGGGGGCCGCAGGGGTGGCGGGGCCCTGCTCAGAGCCCCAGCAGCACAGGCCGTCAGGCCCAAGCTGAAGTTTCCACAACCTGCCCCTTGCTTGGAAGCAGGGGGTCCCACCCCATCTTGGGGAGCCAGCGCCTGGCTGGGCACAGACTACACAGCCCTCAGGAGCATGCCCAAGGGGCCGGCCATCTCTCAGCTGAGAGGTGGGCCGAGCCTCTTGGCTCCGGGGCCTGCTGGGCGGGGAGAGCAGGGCTGTGGGAATTCCCGGGCAGTGGCCGCAGGAGGAGGGGGCGGGGCGCTGGCTGCTGGTGGGGTGCGGAGCCCCACCCAGGTCCTCTCAGGAGTGGGCCCTCCACTCGGCTCCCAGCCTGGACAGGCTACTTCCTGCTGCCCTGCTCCCTTGAGAGCAGGGGTTCTCTCTCACGCCCCATCCCTGGGGGCCCCAGGCTCATCCCACCCTCCCCTCTCCCTCAGCCCCCACTCAGTGAGGCTCCGGGTGTTTATGGGTGGCCGACAGGCCTAGTCCATCTGGACTCTCTGGCTCTCAGCCCCGGGAGGGACCGGTGGGCTCCAGGGAGCAGCACGTGCAGGACTCCTCCGCAGCCACCGCCTGGCCTGCCCACGACGTTCCGTGGCCCTGGCTGGGCCTACCCGAGCCTTCTCCACCCCCACACTTGTGCACCAGCCGTCCATGTTCTGTGTGTGTACAGCAGACACCTGCAGGCCCACGTTCGAGGGCAGGGCAGGTGGGGACACACGGTTCAGCATAGACACTGTGACTGCCCCGCTCTGCTCTGGCTCTGCTGGCCCAGATCACTCCCTGGGCGGACGTGGCTGGGATTCCTGGGCCCAGCACGGAGAGCAGGCTGGCTCCAGCTGCCCCCCGCCGAGTCACAGCCTCGCTTGCTCGGAGGAACTGGCAGGTGTCCCAGTGCCTGCTGCTGGCCCTCCTTGCGCCGGCAAAGCCGAGCGCAAGGCTTGGTGCTCCAAGGCCAGGGTGCACCCCAGCAGCCCTTTCCCACCCTCCTCAGGTGTAGGGGCAGCAGGGGCTGCAGAGAGTGGACTGCCAGGTCAGACCTGCCTGGCTGCGGGTCCAGGGGCCCTGCCAGTCTCCAGGACCGCCCAGCCCCGGGGAGGCAGCCTCACGCCCCTGCCTCAGGCGGTCCCCAGCCGTGCCTTGAGTCGGCGGGCGGCAGGCAGGGCAGGCGTTGGCTCCAGGCAGGGCAGGCGTTGGCTCCGAGCAGCGAGCAGCGGGAGCCAGCCGTGGGAACCAGGTCCGCAGGCGGACCCCTGGGACCGCAGAGCCAGGAGCCTTCCCAGCTCCTCCTGCCCCCACTCACCTGGCCCCTCCCACCCAGCAGGCTCTGGGGGCGGAGGCCAGCCCTGCCCTCAGGCTTTCTCTCCTGGCAGCCTCAGATAGGGTGTGCATGGTGGCCGGACCCACAGGACCACACCACCCATCCTCTGTCCAGGCTCCCTCACCACCTCCCACTGGTCTCTGCCCAGACCCACTGGCATCCTAAGGCTGGGGCTGCACGGGCCCCTCGGGGAAGGGGGCATGGCTCAGAAGCCACCTGCGCACACACCCCCTGGGGGGCAGTGTGAGGGCCCTGGTGTGGGGTTCTGGCCAGCCGAGAGCCGTGTAACCCTGAGCGAGTTACCCAGTCTCTCCCGAGGAGTCTCTCTCTTCACTATGGGAAGGCAGAGGCTCTGCCTCTTAGTGTCAGAGAGGCCAGGCCTGCCCCGACAGCCTCCGTCAAAAGGTGGCCACTGCCTGCCCATGGCAAGGGGTCGGGCAAGGGTTGCTGGACCCCAGAGTGGAAAGGAGATGGACAGGGAGGCCCTCAGTGCTGGGCCCTGCTGTGGATAAGAGACACAGGGTAAGGGGGACCAGCAGGCACAGAACCGGATTTTCTGGCTAGGGGGTGGGCAGGGCCTCCCGGGGCCTATCAGGGTGACAGCAAGGCCCGAGAGTGGGCAGCTGCCGTGGGAAAACCGGCACCGGTGGTTCCCGAGGGTGGGGCCAGGTCCTTGCAAAGGGCACGGGGCATTTGTCTGCGTGTGGTGACTCAGCATGAGCTGGCGGCCCCGCCCAGGCGTTCACACCGGGCCCAGGTTCTGGGAAGGCTGGCAGACCCCTCACAGATGACCCCACCCTACCCTGCCACTGTGCCCTCCCTCCCACCCCTGATGGCACTGTCCCCTTGGGGGGCCTGGACAGGGAGAGCATGGGCCTCTGTGGCAGGTGGCCCAGGGCAGCACCCAGAGACTAGACTGCCCACTTGGCCTCAGCTCCTTTCCCAACTGGACCTAGAGTGACCACAGGCCAGATCTGCAGCCAGGCTCTGCCTGCACTCCTGTCCCAGGAAGCCCCTGGACCTGCGACCAGGAGGGCAGGGCCCACCTCCCCGTGCCAGAGGCCAGTCCAGAGTCTGGCTGGGAGAGGTGGCCAGGGAGACAGGAGACCCCCCAGACGGTTGGGGAGGAGGGTCCTGCCAGGGGATCAGCCCAGCCTGGGCCCAACCCATCCAGCACCCCCAGGCCCTGGCTCCCCCGCCAACTGCAATGCTGGAGGCGGAGTGTGAGGCCACCGGTAGTGGTGTCGAAAGCCCTGTGGGAAAAGGGCGGGTGGGGGCAGGGCGGGGCCCCTGAAGTGGGCACGCCCTGTGGCTCCAGGGGCCTGTGGCTGCCGCCTACCTACCTGCCCTGGGAGCTATGTCATCCAGGGTGCTGGCGCTCATCCAGGAGGGACGGAGGGAGTGATCACAGGAGCGCAAGTTGTGGCCCCTCCCCCTGTGGCCTGGGAACCCCCCATGCCCTGCCCTCAGCTTGCCCTCCCCCTGCAGGCTGCTCCCATGTCCAGGAGGGCTGTCTCCACGGGTACCTGTGTGTACCCCGGTCTCAGTGGGCACCCCACCCCTCCTGCCCTCCCACAGGGCCCTCCCCGCCTCGCCCTGGCAATCCTGGGGTCCAGACTCACCTCCCTGCCAGGCAGTGACCTTCACGGGGCAGCCCTGGGGTGGCCGCACTGGGAGGGCAAGATGGGCCTCCCAAACCCCCTCCCCACCCCCAGGGTCTTCATAAGGTCAGTGGGGCTGAGCCGAGCTTTTCCCAGGAGTGCACTGCAAGTCCTAGGCAAGGTCCCAACAAAGAAGCAGAAGTGGCTCACTTCTGACCCCTCGCCCCTGCAGGGGCGGGCACCCCGCACAGTCAAGAAACGTGGACACCAAAATGGCCCCTGCTCGCCCTGCAGTGGCTGCGGGCTCAGGGCAGCTGTAGGGCTACCCACCCTGACCCTCAGATGCTGGGCCCTACATCCCCCACGGTGCTGAGCTGGCCCAGCCGGGAGCCAGGCCTGGCTCTGCCCTCGTGGGCTCCGGGGTTGGGGAGGACAATCAGGTGATGGCAGGGTCCCACAGGGGCTCAGGAGCCAGAAGAGGCCACCCAGGCAGGGCCCACTAGGAGCTAGTGGAGTCAGGGAGGGCTCCCAGGAGGTAGTGCATCCCGGGATCCTGCAGGGAGAGGAAGGGATGTGCCATTTTTCTCTGTGAAAAACCCTGGGCAGACCCAGAGCTGCAGGACACATGGGGCTGGGGCGGGGTGGATAGAGGGAGCCTCCCTTGGCCTCAGCACCTCCTCCACCCCCAGGCCTGTAACTGTGACCAGTACCTGAAGGTCTCCAAGGACATGATGAAGCAGCTCATGGGGCTCAGCGGCCACCAGGAAAGCCCCAGCAACACAGGCGAGTGCACCCCACAGTGTTAGGCGTGGGCTTGGTGGGGTCTGTGGATGGCAGCCCAGATGCTGGGTGCCCCTGGGCTCACCTGCAGGAATGGCCAGCAGGATGCTAGCCAGGGGGCTGATGGCAAGGTACCAATAGGCAAAAAGTCAGCCCTCACGGCCAGGATGGGACCCCTCAGCCTCTGTCCTCTCTGGGGGTGTGCAGGCCGCCAACCCAGGGAGCCAGGGCACTCAGGCGCTCGGGGCCCCTCTGGGGCGGTGTACAACACCCTGTCTCCAGCGGGCCCTGCTCCACTGCTGCTCACCCTGCCTGCATGTGGAGTGCGCATACACACCAGCGCACACACGCACACATACGTGTATGACCCCACAGAGATACATGCACGCTCATTCATAGGGACACACACAGGAGCACACACGTTCGCTTGTATGCCTGTGCACACAACTTGAACATAGATGAGCCTGGCACATGGGAGGAAGGATGTCCACACCACACCCCCCCCCACCCGGGGCAGGTCCTACCGGGGGACCTAGCCTCAGTTTCCCTTTTGTAGGTGTAGAAAAAGGGTGCAGGGCACCCAGAGCTTTGAGGTCAGCAGTCGGGGCAGTGAATGTGCCAGCTGATCTACCACTGGCCCCCCACCTTCCAGAGAGAGGGGCCCGGCAGAGGGGGCCCTGGAGAGAGCCCAGTGGCTCCTCAGGCTCCGGACCCTCCTCAGTGTGGGGCAGGGATGGGTGCAGAGGAGGGCAGCTGGGTCCCTCTGGTGGGGTTAGCCTGAGGCCTGGCTCCGTCTGCACAGATGGTACCCCTCCAGGACCCTGCTCTTGTCCTTCCTGCCTCCCTCTGAGGTTCAGGGCCACCCACACAGTTGGTGAGCTGTCGTGACAGCCTGTGTCCAGCCCCGGGCAGCTCTCAGCTTTCCACAGCATGGTCTTGACATGCCCGAGGCCCAGGAGGGGAGGAACAGAGCGTGAGCAGTGCCCACTGCAGGGGCTGCCAGGCTCCAGCCCCCTCTGAGCCCCCCACCCCACCCAGAGGCTCACACTTGGCCTGGGGGGTGGGCAGCACCCCTGTGGGCTGTCTCGTGTCTCAGGGGCCACCCAGTAAGGGCTTGGGCCAAGCAGGCTGGGGCAAGGCAGTGAGGCCAGCTGGAGGTCATGGCCTCGCTGGGCTCCAGGGAGGCTGTGGCGCTGGTCAGGTTCTCGTCCATTCAGGTTAATCTGGAGCCATCTGTAGAGGAATGTTTGCTGAGCAAATTACGAGGGTCAGCAGGACTGGGGGGACCTCTCCCACCTGCTGGCCAGGGCTCCTCGGCCTTGCTGCCCTCGGCCCCACACTCCTCCCTCAGCCCCCAGCAGCCTGGCCGTCTCCCTGCGCTCAGTGGGGGTGGGGCCGTCTCACAGGGTCAGAAGGAGCCAGCCCCCAGGATCTCTCTAGCACCCCGAGCTCTGGGGGGCCCTGCTGCCAGCTGCCACTAAACTCGCTGCTTGGCAGAGGCTTATCTGCTCAGCGCCATAGCCGGCCGCCCCCACCGCGCCGCTCTCAGGCCCCCGAGTGCCCCAATCGGCCCATCTCTCGCCCAAAACATGTTTCCTAAGGACCTTTGAGCCCCAAGAACCTTCCAAGGTGTGAGTTCCCATAGGAGGGGACTGAGCTGGCACAGAAGCTTCTCCGTCCCCTGCCCTTTGCCCTCTCCACTGGGGATGGGGCAGAGGCTGGGCACTTGGAGGTGCGTGGTAGGCATGGGGGCTGCCAACGGCCCTGGGAGTCCCTGACATCCTTGATTGGCAGGTGACGAGGATGCCCAGAGCAAGGATGCCCAGGAGCCAGGTGAGCACTGGGGCCGCCCCTGAGGACTCACGGTGTCCCGGCACCTGAACTCACCCCAAGACAGTGTTTGGGTGCTGGCCAGTAGAGGGGGCAGCTCGGAGGGAATGGACCCTGTGCCCTGGGTCGGGGGTAGAGGCTGGGGATCAGTGGCCTGTAACCAGGGGCCCGGGTCAGATGAGGCAGAGGGTCTGGTGGGTGGAAGCGCGAAGAGGAGCTGCTGGGGAGAGCAGGTGGGGCGTGTGCCCAAAGGCCACGGCTCAGGGTGGCCGCCTCCACCTGTCCAGGCTCAGCCCCAGCAGAGGCCCCCGGGGGCAGCACCTACGACCCGCCCTGCCGCTGGCTGGAGGCGTCAGATCTGCAGGCCAGTGTGCCGGGCACACTGGGCAACGGCACCCGGCTGCAGCTGGCGGGGGTCCCCGTGGGCGTGCTGCGGCGGCCGGGGCTGCGGCACTTCTACTGCTGCACCGGCTGCGGCAAGGTCTTCTGGGAGGGCTCCCACCTGGGCCGCGTCACTGCGAACTTCCACGAGGTCCTGGAGGGGCCCCCGGCTCCTGCGAGTCCAGCCAGCAGCCCCTCGTGAGGACCCGGCCCCAGCCCCTTGGAGGTGGGCGGGCCAGCCGACAATAAAAGTGCAAAGGCGAGAGCTGGGCTCTTCCTGTGCTCATTCCACGCACCTGAGGCTCTGGGTGCAGGGGCCCAGCCCCCACCACTGCTGGGGAGGATGAAGGTTTCCACGCGGTCAGAACGCTCGGCCCCTGAGCCGAGAACTGCCCGCTGCTCAGGAGTGAGGCAGGCCGGAGGTAGGAAGGGCATGCCCGGTGGAGGAAATGGCCTGAGCAAAGGCCCAAGGGCTGCACCAAAGTGCCTCCCCAGGTCAGCTGGAGCCCCTTGGGGCTGGAGGGGTGGGGTAGGACAGACAGGCCCCCCCCACCTTGCTGTGGCAGTAAATGCCACAAGCCTCCAGGCCAGGCAGGACAGGGTCTTCCCTGCTTCCCCCCAGCAGGTCTCAGGGCCCCAGAAAAGCCGGCCTCTAAACCCTCCGGGGGCCCCCAACTCCAGGGAGCATGGATGGTGGGATCCTGGGGGTCTGGGTCCTTTAGGCCAGGTTGGGGGCTTCCTAGGGACCAGGCTCCAGCCCAGCCAGTCTGGGAGGCAGAGGAGCTGCCCCTAAGGAAGGCCGCAGCCTGGAGGGGAGGCCTGCCTCCCTTGAGTCTGCTGCCCTGGCCCCCTCCCTGGCTGGGGCCTCACCCCTGGGCCTTTCCCTTACCCCCCAGGTTAGACCAGGGTGGCCTCTCATGAGAGAAGGCAGCAACCACAGCCACACGGGAGGGCCCTGCACACACGTGTATTTGCATCTCTGTTCTTACAACTACAGAAAGTAGCTGCTGCTGCTACGCCCACTCTGGGGGAAACTGAGGCTCAGACCCGTTGCTGACACCCGGAGGGCCAAGGGTACCAGTGCCAGGTGTAGCGGGGAGAGGGGTGCCAGAGGAAGGGGCCCCTGCGTAGGGGCTTCTGCAAGCGGCCAGCCTGGTCCCAGACTCTATCTTGCCCTCACCACCTCCTCTGGCTCACCCCCCAGGAATGCGCCCCCCCCCCCCACATCCCTTTCCTGTCCTTCCTGCCTGGAACGGAAACCAGCTCAGATTTGGCTGGGGAGCACAGGCGGAAGCCTCCAGGCGGCTGGGGCCCGGAGCCAGCACAGGGCTGCCACCTCTGCCCAGGGCAGAGCACACCTGCAGGCCCAGGTGGGATGGCCGTGGGCATCAGGTGGGCACTGGCAATGCCAGGCCAGCCTCTGCCCTGTCCTTGGGTTGTTGATTGGACTGGGGCTGGCCACTGCCTGGGCCCCCCAGGGATGCAACCCCAGTAGGGGTGGGGGCTCATGCCAGGGGGCTGCACAGGCATCCTGCCACGTTCCACATCCTGTCCTTTCCCTTGGAGTGCCCACCGTGTGCCGGGCGCCAGTCCACTCACCCCCCCGCAGCCCCGGGGCCAGCTGGGCCAGGGCGCCACTCCACAGATGGAGACGCTGAGGGCCAGCCCAGGCTGAGCAGGCAACCCTGGCCTTCCTCCTCCTGGAGGTCACTGCTGAGCCCGAGGTTCAGGCAGGGTCAGGCACCAAGGTGAACAGGTGAACTGGACCCTCTGTGGCTGGGGTGCTGCTTCCAGGAGTGCAACCTCCGGCCCCACGTCCTGTCCTGGGGAGGCAGCCCCAACCACACTCCGTCGCCTGTGGAGTTAAGAGGAAGTAACTGGGATGCCAGACCCGCTTCCCAGCCCAGCTACATCCTGGAGACTGCTCTGACCCGAGACCCTGGCCTTGCAGCCAGCCCTGGACAGAGGCCAGAGCCAGCAAGAGGCCGGGGACCATGGGCTCAGGAGACGGGAGACCGTGTGTCCTTCCCATTCCTCCAGGCAGGTCTGGCCCAAGCCCCACTCTGCCCTTCCGCCCTGTGCAACTTCTAGAAAGAGGAGAGGGCAGCTGACAGGGACCTGTTCTCAGCGAGGTCCTCATGGCAGCACCTATGCCATCCAGCCTGCCCTCCTGCCTCCCTACTCGTCTGCTGCCCAGACTAGCCGTGTCTCTCTGGGGAAACCCCCCACCTCTCTGGGCTCACCTGCTCACTGCCAGCCCACCCTGGTGCTGGGGTCCCCCCACCCTAGGTGCCAGCCCCCACCCCAGCTCCTGAGCCATCAGGGGTCAGCCCAAAGTGCCTTCCTCAGCCCCAGGATCCAGCCAGGGGTCAGACACCAGGCGGACAGGGTGGGCTGTGGCCCAGGTGCCAGGCCGTGCCCTGTGCGGCCAACCGGGTGGGCAGGAGCCGCCACAGCGAGTGTCTGCTGCAGTTCCGCCCGCGTCCTTCCTCTGCTCCGGCCGCGCTGGCCCCGGGCAGAGTGTTTGTTATTTGATCTCTATCCTCTCGGCCCTTCTACCAGGTGTCTGGGCTGCTGGGAAGAAACGCTCTCCTCTTTCCCACGCTCCCCGACACATTTTAATGAATTAGCTGGAAGCCCCGCCCCCACTGCCCGCCTGCCCACTCACCCTCCCTCCCCTGTCTAGGCCTTTAAGGTGGCCGCAGGCCTCGGCCTAGGGCTGGCCAGCCACCCCTTCACCGCTGTTCTCCCCCCGCCAGCCCACCCAGACCTTCCCAGCCTGGGTTCCAGAATGTCCCCAAGCTGCCTGCATTGCTCCCTCACTGCTCACTGCTCTGAGACTCCAAAGGAAGGGGATGCCTGGAAGGCGAAGGGGACCCTCTCCAACTCTGGCCTTCACCCCACCATCACCTTCCAGGCGGCACCCTGGGGCCAGCCCCCCCGGGGGGACAGGGTGCAGCTTTGTAGTCAGGGTTGGGTGTGTCCCCCAGATCCCAAGTCTGGGGCTTCTCCTTGAGAGCCAGTGGACTCCTTGCCGGTTTGTGGTCGTGATGACAATGCCAAGGAACCCACAAACACGGGAGAGGGGCTTCTCTAAGCTGTGGGGCGGGGCCTGGCACACAGGGAGCCCCTCGCCACCCCTCCAAGGCATTTGGAGCAAATATCGTCCTTTTGGACGGGCCTTTCAGCAAACGTTTAGGAAATGCTTGCTGGAAGCCGCACATCCCTCTCCCCATCGTGTCCTCAAATGGGCAGCTCTGGGACATGGGGTGTGGACCAGAGTGACTTGGCCACGGTGGAGGAGCACTAGCCATGGGCGACCCATCGGCTTCCCACGGACAGGGTGGCTGTCACCTGAGCCCCAGAGATAAGCAGCCGGTGGCAGGGGGCTCAGCGCTGGGTGCACAGCAGTGGGAGGTCCAGGCACCCCTGTCTGACCCTCCCTCCAAACAGGGGGTGGAGCAGGCGGTGACCTCAGACTAGGCTTCCGTGGCCACTCCAGCCACACTGTCCCTGCCGCGGCGCCTCAGCCACCGATTTCATGGCCCGTGGTGGCGGCCGTGCTTTCCCACACTGAGCTCACAGGGCCCCTTTGTCCGCCTGCCCTGATGCCTGCCGCGGGTGTCAATGGGACTTTTCTCCCAGGCTCTGCTCCCGGGCCCAGCAGGGTCTCCAGATGCCCTTCTCCAGGCCAGGGGGCCTGAGCCAACCTGGGCTGGGGCCTGTCTGTGAGCCCACCACCTTCTAGGGGTGGCTCTGGGCATGGCTGGGACTTGGCAGAGACAAGAAAAACCCAGATGTGACCAGGAGTTCCCTAACTCTTGCCCACCCAAACGTGTTCTCAGAGCTGCGCCCTCCAGCCCAGCCCCATTCCAGGGAGCAGCGGCCAGCAGGGTGGCATGTGCCCAGGTCACAGCCCTGTGCAGGGACACACGCTTACTCTCTCCAAGGTTCCCTGTCCAGAGGTGAACATGGGCCCGAGTGGACAGGGCCCAGTGTGGCCTTGGGTCAGCCTCCCAGGCCACCCATGCTCTCATCCCTGGTGTTGAGGCGGCAGGGTGTTGGAGGTGGTCAGGGTCCAGCTGTTCACAGTCCAGCAGCGACTGATCCCAGGCCCTCTTACTGGGCCCAGGGACACAGCTCTGCAGGATGAGCAGGATGAGGGAGGGGCTCCCAAGGGCAGCAGCACCCCCAGTCACACCCTTGGCCCACAGAGCACAGGGCTTGGGCTCAGGGCTCCCATCTCTGCTCAGCCCTGGGCTTACCCACATGCACACTGGGGGGCTCTTGGGGACAGCAGGTCTGAGCAGAACAGCTAGACCACCGGCTCAGGAAGACCCCAGGGGAGCAGCGAGGGTCAGGTCTAAGGGCAGCTGGCCAGAGGTGGACAGCCCTGGGGTGGCCGCCCCAGTTTTTCCTGCAGTTTGGCTGCGACCCCTCCCAGAGCACGGAGCAAGGTGGGGGCATACCCACGTGGGTCTCAAGGCGTGGAGGGCGTGGGGCAGACCCCACAGGAACCTGTCCCCCAACAAGGCTTGACAGGGTGCTCTCCCCAGCTGAGGTGCACAGCTGCCTCCCCAGGAATTCCCGCTCCGTTCTGAAGGAATTCAAGTTGCTGCGTGCTGGTCGCCGCCCTGCCTGCTGCTCTGAGAATCATTCCTCCTTAATTTCCAGCCACCACAGTCGGGCTGTAAACTGTAAAATCCTAACGAGGGAATTTGACGGCAGCGTCAATAAAAAATGAACTTACAACTTGGAAATGAGTCATCTCAAGAGTTCCCTTTCGGAGCAATCCTTGGTGACTTTCCTGGGGCTGCTCACCTGGCCAGGCCTTACCTGTCCCCGTTCATGCTGATGGGGGTGGCCCAGGAAAAGGAGGAGGTCCTGCTGCCGACTGCACCCCACTGCGGAGCTTCCGCGGAACCCGCCCCAGCCCCGGACTTCCATCCAGAGACCCCGCGCTTCATCAGGACCCCGCGCTTCATCAGGACTGGACTGAAAGCTCCTCATACCAGGCGGGTTGGGGCGCAAACACGGGGTGACCCGAGAAGCCAGGGGAGCTGCCCTCGCGCGTGACGGCCCCGCGTGGCTTAGGTCACACGCCCGAGCTGCTCGTGGATTTGTCACCCGCGTGGGCCGTGTGTCCTGGGCGGGTCCCCAAGCCGGGCGCGGCCGGCGTGCTGGGGACGCGGAGGGTCCCTGGCCGGCGCTCCGGAAGCACGGAGCGACACCCGGGGTCTCTACCCCGGCCGGGGTCTGAGATGC